TTTTAAATTGCATCTATTATCGTATAAACCGTGGTGTTTTACAAGGATTTCCAGCTCTAAGGAAAACCGTAACAGCACAGGTGAGAACATCCATGATTTTCTCTTTCACCTACCCCTCCCTTGTTACATAACCACGCAAACAGCTGTTAAGGTCCTGCGGAGCCCATTGACATCATCAGTCGTATAAATCGTTGTTTGAGTCTGCGAAAGATTCCAGTGAAATGGCGTCCAACAAACGATACCTTACAATTATCTCGATCGCTCAGCTTGTAATGGCAGGTATCCTCTTCGTTCTCGGAATGGTAGATCATTTTGAAGTTCGCTACATGTATGCCAGTCTTATATTGATGCCAATTTGGATTTCTCTTTTTGTAAGTACAGTATATTTCTCATAAGAGTGCAATTGCAAATTGTAAAGTAGTCTGTGATTGCATTTTCCAGCAGAGGGTTTAGGTCCGGAAAAGATGCATTGATATTGAATCTTGTCGTTCTAACTAAGTATCTAGTCGTTACGGTGTTCTAATCTCGTTATTTTGGGACAGGATTTACTTCGAAGCTTAAAGTGAAATGCTGTTCAAATCTCTCATACTACAAATTTCGGGCGAATGTATTACGTAGAATCACATTTCACTGGATAGTCTGAAACCATTAGGTTTCATAACCCTTCCACCTGCAAATATCTTGTCCGCAATTCTTTCGATAAGCATACAACTACACTCTCAAGCTGGGTCAGGATATGATGACACTGGAGACGTAGAATACAAAGTTCGCCCTTCAAAAGCGAATCGGTCGTCTGTGACCTGGGAACATTCAACTATTGTTGTTTTTATATGTTGAGGGATCAAAGTAGTTCGAAGATTGAGAAATATACCACAGTACTTCGATAAAACAGTCCGAATTATTCTAAAGTTATCTAGGGATATCTCTCAGTTTTTCTATAGAGTCAACAAAACAAATATTGCGCAGGATGTTTTACACAAGCGGAAGTGACCATAAATGCTAATGAGCACATTGCCAGACGAAGGGAACTCGATGATTTGACCCCGAATTTCTCTTTTAGGAACGACTTAAGCTTTTTGTTTAAGACATGGTCACCTTCCAGATGTCTTACATACGCTGATGATACCCAACTGTATCTATCGTTCAAACCGAATTCAAATGTAGATCAGCACGATGCTATTACTGCTATGGAACTATGTGCGAAAGCCATACGTAATTGGATGCTGGCAGAAAAACTAAGGTTAAATGATGATAAGACGGAATTTTTGATAATTGGAACCAGACAGTAGTCGACGAAAGTCAAAGTCGACCATCTACCTATTGGTAACGTTAGAGTAACTCCAACAGAGTAAAGAACTTAGGAACATGGTTCTATGCGAACACGAGTCTCACTACACATATTAACAACACATGTAATGCAGCATTTTATTTCTTATATAATTTAAGGCGCATCAGGAAATATCTTTCTAGAGAAACTGCGGAAATATCAGTTTCATGCGTTAGTAATAGGAAGAATGGATTATTTTAATCGCCTTCTTTTTGGAGTGCCTGATATTCATTTAAATAACCTGCAAAGAGTTCAAAATACGGCAGCCAGGTTAGTTTGCATTGTTCCTAGATTCTGTCATATAACACCAGTTCTACGTTCTTTGCACTGGTTGCCTGTTAAATTGAGAATTAATTTCAAAATTTTAGTTATTACTTTTTTTTATAAGGCTATGTTTGGCTTTGCTTCCAGACAAATTAAATGTCTACAGTCAGTGTATATGACATCTGTCGATCAAATATAGCCGGAAAGCCAACATTTTATAAATTGAAGATGTGAATAAATTTACCACGAATCTACTGCTTCGTTTGTCTCTCTTCCTAATCCTACTTCAATGTCTCCTTCCACTTTACCATTTATTACTAATTTACAATTTTACGACGATCATTCGAAATGCACTTTATCATTTCCGTGCTCATGTCGATTAATCGATGTCCTTCAGGGACTTGTCAGCTGGAATATAGAAATAAGTACCTTCTCAAATAGTAACCCTATTGAAATCAACACTAGTATTAATCGTTTACATTTTATAACTAGTAATCGAGGGGTTGAATATTCTTCTAACTCTTTTTAAGGTCATACCCATTGGCATCATGGGATTGGTTTTAGTCATGAACAGATCTACACCCTCCTCAGCTTTGGTGAGAATTAAAATAGCATAATACTCTTAAATGTCGATCCAGGTAATAGGTGATGTATGTTTGACTGATCTTTTTGGTTTTTGTTTGCTTGTTTGTTTTTTTATTTTTCTTTGCTTCTTCTCGACAACTTTCCCGCCGAGTGTGCCCTTTAAAGAATATTATGGTGTTTGACCGAGAACGTTGTACCTCTAAAATCTTAACGTTTAAAACACGTGTGATTTTACGCCATGAAAACTTAGCTTCCCGTGCCACTGATTATTGCAGATGAGCGGCCTGAGGTCAGTGAGCATTGCATGTGCTGCTGTATCAGTTCTAACCACATTTACCTATGCGATGGCACTCAATAGCGTATTATTCATCAAATATATGGAGGCAAAAACTGAATACCAGGAATCTCCATGGTTTGCCGATAAAGACGTTGAAATCGAGTTCCAGAAAGAGGAAAAAACCATGATAGCTGTACATGTCTTGATT